TAAAGTCCCCCACCCCCACATTTACGCACATATAAACGTAAATATGCGTCAGATGCGTCAGCGCACGAAAACGACAATTGAGCTACACATGTTACAGATCGCCGCAAACATCGGTGTGAAAACAATCATTTTAGGGCCATCAATCACTGATAACACTAAACTGATGAGCGGTAAAAGCTTTTAAAGCGTCGCCTAGGGCCAATTTTGTGTATTGTAGTTTCTTGCGGTTTCGCGCGTGCGTGCAATTTTAAGGCTTGACATGTTTTTACCCAACGTGACCACGTCTCTTATATTTTACCAAAAAATTGGGTAATAATAAATGTTTTATAATTTAAAATAGGGGAAACAGTTTTTTTTTTAATGTTCTGTAATTTTTTCTTAATATAGTAAAAAATAAAAACCCCAATGGTGACTAAATACTACCAAAAGAAACCTCTATCTGTCCCTAAAAAATGGTATAAAATTCATTTCAGTACAGCGTTGCATGACGGAATAAATGTCAGTCAAAGTACTGCAGCGCTGAATACTGAAAAATGGCCTGGATGGGAAGGGGGTGTAAACACCGCAGACTTCAAGTGGTTAAAAGGGAAATATCAGGGGTCTGTTGAAACCCCTAAAATAAAGTAAAAAATTAAATATATTTAATAAAGGCTGCTTGGCTTCTCATGCCACTGTTTCTTTAAAGCCTTTTAACCTGAGCCGGCCCCAGGAACATGGCGGAGTCCGGTGGAGGAGAGTTTAGCTGTCTCGGGCACAGCAGGTGAGCACACATAGGTACACCGGGGGAGGGAGACGACAAACCGGTGTCCCCGGAACACACAAGGCCCCTCCGCAAATCCGGCCTCTCCTATGTATACAGGCAGTGGCCTATTGCATGAAGAGCCGCACAGGCTGCTACGAGACTCCGGGGGCTGATGGGTCGTGCAGGCCTCAGGAAAAGGGGTGTGGAGCGATGTGACACTGCTAACTAGCAAACTTCCACCTCATCCCTCTGCATTCTGTTCAACTTCATCATTTATTCTGTACGCTTACAAGCGTGGTGTTATTCTAAACTATCACTCCGATATATTTCCATATGGTACAATTACACATCAGTTTTATGGGAGCTGATTCTGAGAAGAAAATGCATAATAAAATCACTATGCTCTTACAGAGGTTCCAACTGTTCCCATTTAGGAACCAAATCCCTCATTCCTCCTCAAACATCCCTCTATAACACTGATTATTATTAATAATATTAGTAATACCAGTAATAATATACAGATCCTATATATATATATATAGAGAGAGAGAGATCTATCATAGCATTTTATTGTTATTATATTATTTTTATGTTATTAATATTTTGATTTTATTTGTGATTGTTAACATTATATGACAAGACATGCGGTTACAGGCACCTTGCCCGTGCACTGTGGAAAGGTGGCTGTGCTTTTCATGTAAGATGAATTGCAGCGCAGGGAGCTCCCCTCCACAGCTCAGCAAGCAGCCAACATTAGGAAGTGTGCCACTCACCCTCCCTGCCCCCCGCATTGTGGAAAGGTGACTGTGAATTTTCTGGACCCACACATGCGCAATTGCCCGTGGCCCGTTCAGGAGCCGTTCAGCGACTCTGAGCTTGCAGACATCCCAACTCTCCCGGATGTTCCGGGAATCTCCCGTGATAAGATAGCGGCTCCCTGACGCAAGCGAGAGAGACATTTTATCCCAGGAAAGGTTTACTCTGCTCTATCTGCTCTATCTTACTCTGCTCTATCTAACCCTTGCAATGCTGGGGTAGCCCCACTGCATGGGTTAAAGGTTTACTCTGCTCTATCTAGCAGAGTAAACCTCTCCGGGATACCTGGTGGTTCGACTCCCCCAGCTATCTTATTTTTTTATTTTGACAGCGGCCGCCTCCAGAGAAAAGGAAAAAAAAAGGAAAGCATTGGTATGAAAAGCTGCTGCTATTGGCTATTTCAATTTGCATTAGAAGGCTGGCTATTGCACCCGCCCACTGCTACTGTCAATCAGCAGAGGTGGACCTGAAGTTTTCCTTCCCGTCCTACTCTGCTGATTGATAGCAGCAGTATGGACACTCCAAACTCAATGCAAGCCTGCATATGACAAATTAATGTACCTATTTCAACAGGTATAAGAAATGGTTGCAAGTATCAACATTTTTCATGCGGAAGCAACAACAAGGTTTAAAGAGTGTTTACGACATCACAGCGTCATGAATTCCAAGGAAAATTAATAAAGCCTTAGCGTCACTTTTCTGGCATTATGGACTTTTAAAAAGTCCTGCACCAAATTAAAAAAGTTTCGCTAGCTTTACTGACACAGGCCACATCCCTTTCAGCTGCTGTCCAGGAGAACAAACGGACCAGGGATGCTGGTTGACATCATGAGCATCCTAGCCCCATTGCAAACATATCACCTGTAGGCTGTGGAATGTCCTAGCCGGCAGCTGAATGGGGCCAGGGATGAGTCACTGTTGGCCAAGACAGTTTTGCCTGTGCAGCTTACAACCTCTTAGCAACCAATGTTGTGGCTAAGTGGGTGTTGCCTGATGGGGATGCTGAGGGACTAGTTCCCCATGAGGTCCACCTCCCCTGTGGCTAACAGCAAGCAGTGGGCAAGGTACCATAGCCAATAGCTACATCCCAAAGCGTCCTTAATAACCAGAGATGCGGACAGTCGGGGCTGATCATGGGGAAATCCGAGAGCCTAATTTCCCATCAGGTATGCTCTGTTACTGATTGACAGCAGGGAGTGGACAAATTCTAATGCCAATAGTCAGCCTGTCATTGCCTACTGTCAATCAGCAGCAGAGTAGACCTGATGGAGGGTCTAGTACCACAGCATCCCCATCAGGCTCTGCCCACCCACAGTATAAGTCCTCAGCCACTGTGCCTGTCTGTTTGACTTATGCAGTACCTGGACAGAGAGCTCAGTGACGCGAGCCTGTGATTTTATCAGGCTCAGCATTGCTGAGCTGCACTGAGGACGTGCAAAAGCCTACTTCCTGGAGTTCTGCTTAAATATATTTAAATATATTCCTTAATAGCCACAAACATGCTTCTTTTATTTAGACAGTATTTGTTTAGCTTAGAGTTCAGCTTTAAAGTTCATGGCCAGTGCCATGTACAATCCTGGCATCTGCTGGGTGATGGGCTAAATGAACTCCCGTACACTTTCTGGCCCACTGAACCCAAAGATCCGGAAGAAGGTAGATAGAAGATGTTGGTGCTGGTGAGGGAGCTCACAGATGTCACATCGCATGTTATATCGCTAATATAAAGAAAAAGTAGTACTAAATCAGTAACTTTACAACCCTCAATCAGTAAATTCCTGACATGTCACAATATTGAGCAACTTTCTCATTTATATAACAAGAGCTCTAACTTTTGTCATCAAAGCAGAACTAAACTTAAAACAAGTTTTTTTTTTTGCTGTCATGTTATAACTTTGTGTATGCTGCCTGGGCAAATGTTAGGCGCGAAGCACGGAGTCAGGTGCCAGGACTATGCACAGTAGTTGCATCATCAGTGGCCGCCCAATGGCCGAAGAAAGAAAACACTGGATGCAGAAAAAGACCAGGAAAAGATGGCACCGGTGGTATATGGAGTAATGAGGGGTAGCGCAGATTGAGCCTCGTTGGAATAGCCAAACTAGGGGGTAAGTCTGCAATGGTGTGCAAATATGCTATGCCATAATATTTACAACATAATCTGACATACCCACCACTGAATTGACTCAGGGGTGTGGAATTTGTATCGCCCGACGCCCGGGACAGGCAGTTTCAGGCATCGGGCGAGTAGTTTTTTTCTACATTTAGCCCGGCTTTGGGCAAGCAGCACTGCTAAATGTAGTGTGGGAGCCGTTTTGTACGAGTGATTTTAAACGGCTGTGCAGCCGTCCAAAAATCACTTGTAACCTGCCTGAATCTCGCTTCTCCTCTCCTCCCCTCTCCTCCCCCCTCCACTCTCCTCTCCTCCCCTCTCTCTATCTCCAGCGGCCAGCCGTGTACTGCTCCCGGCTGCCTGTCTCTCTGCACCTGGGCTTCCTTTTTGCCGTAGTCTTTGCCCCCCCCCCTCTTGTGGGGGATTGATGACCACAGCAAATTAGGTTCCAGAGCATGGAGCAAGGCAGAGAACGGTTCTCTGCTCCATGTGTGCAGTGACACAGGAATGCAGCCTTCCTGTCACAGGAGAAATAGCACAGAGCTGTGCTAGAACTCCTGTGTTGGAGGTGACAGGGTCAATAAAGAGAACCTGTCACCTCCAAAAGCTATCACACAAGGGCTTGTTACCCTTGTGTGATAGCAATAAAGTCAAGTAAAAAATAAAATTATATAACACTTAAAAATGTAAACATAAAATTGGAAAAAATAATAAAAATTTAAATACATAAAAATAGAAGAAAAAAAACGACGATAAAGTAAAAAAATTAATAATGAAAAAAAAAATATTACAAAGCAAAAAAAAAAGTTAAATAAAATCTAAAAAATTAAAACCAATCCCTATCATCTGCATGCGAATAAACGCATGCATGGGGCATTGTGTGAGTGGAGTGGGCGATCCGTTGCCACACGGCAATCGTGCACAAAACCGTGTGGATGGCCGGGCGGTCACAGAATCGCCCACCACCGCCGATCACGCTGGCAGTGCCATTATTGTCTAACAGCACCCCAGTTGCACAAGGCAGATTGCGCAGTTTCCCGCCGCAATAACGCCCGTGCAAATGCACATAATCTCGATTGAAAACATTCCGAGATTACCACGCGGATGTAACCCCATTGAAATCAATGAGGCCGCGAGGCAACCGTACACGGCCTCGCCCAAGTCTGCACCGCCCCAAACGGTAAATTCACTTTCCCAAGTAATTTGGAAAAATGGAATTACCCGCACAAATCTGGTCCAGACACCATGCCCCCCACTATACATACCTTTGAGGGAACGGTCCTTCCCATCCGCCAGTATGGGTGTACTATCTGTACCTGTGCCATTGTAATCTGAATTTCGCTCTCAAAGTTCAAGCACTCGTTGGTCAGCGCAGTCATCTTGACGGCACTGACCAACGAGAAGCTCTTCTTGGCATTGCTAAATACGGTTATGGTTAAATGTTTTTCTTTTTTTGTATCAGGACAAGTAGATTTTCATGAGGGACAAGAAGATCAGGCCCCCGCTTTAGTCCTTGGACAAGTAGTTTTTTTAAAAATGTCCACACCCCTGTAACTATTCATTTGCATTACAACAAATTCTTATGGAGAATGTGAGGTCATCTGTTCTAGAAGTTGAATTGGAAATGGGTCTTTCAACAAAATAATGATCCAAAGCACACCAGCAAATCCACTGAGGAATGGCTAAGAAAAAAAATATGGAGGGTTTTGGACTAGTCAAAGCCCTGATTTAAACCCCATTAAAATGTTGTTGGGGTGATTTGAAACAGGCATTTCATGCAAAAAATATAAAAAACAAAGTCTTACAATAAAAAAAGTACTCAAAATTTCAGAGACTGGTGGGCAGTGATGCAAACCAAAGTGGGCAATACCAGCTCTTGAGGAACCACAGTATATACTTGCATCTATTGATTTTTGTTGAATAAATAACTTGTTTTTACTTATAATTACTTGTAGCCATTGTTTGATTGAAGATAAACACATGTTGATAATGTGAACTTCCACCATGGGGTGTACCTACTTTTTTACATGCTTATATAATCTAGGTTTGCCTGAGTAAATCCTTGTTGCAGGCACCCGTCACAGCACGTGCTGTC